AAAAAAAAAAAAAAAAAAAAAAAAAAAGAAGAAGAAGTAGAAATTTATTCGACGTTTCTTTCAATTATAATCTATAATTAATTTCCCATAAAATTTCAGTAAGAATAATTTCAAGAGATATGAATTATTCAATATACGTATATTTATTCGGTAGTCTCTTGTAAAATTGACTCGATATTTGACGACTCGATTCGTTTTACAAAAATTCGTATACGAAGCTCGCAATGTCACGCGATATCTCGAATATAAAGATAAACTCGCTTCCTTCCATGGAAGGAAACAGGCGGCACCAAAATTATGCAAATCGCATGTTTGCCCGCGCGTAAACATAAGTGCACTTCGATAAGAAACGCATACTCCATTCAAATAATCCAAGATCAAGCGCTTGTTTGTTCCCAATGCGAGAAATCGTACGCTAACGATTCCGATGCCTGCTGCGCAATTCCTAATTTCCATTTCTTTTATGTACATGCATTCAATCTACCGTTATTTTATTATATATAAATATATATAAATAATTATACAGATATTAATAATAGCAGAAAAAAGCAACAGTAAACTCGTCCTCGATCTTCCTTCCTTTTCGTCTAATCGTTTGTTTGTAGTATCTTTCGTCTATGATTCAATAGTCTCTTTTTCTTTCTTCTCTTATTCGTCTACACTCTTCTAAATTCGTCTTAATTCGACTGTGTTCATCTAATAACTATCGTCTACTATGTTACAGCGTCTTTCTGATTTGTCAATTACGTGGGGGCATGATCTTTCGCTAATCGCAACCTTTTTACCATGCTGCATATATCTATACAAATGTGTATCACTTTTGTTTATCGCGTAAACAAAATCGAGCATAAAATTTCAAATTGATGCGAGCTAAAGGAAAACAAAATTCTAAGAGTCAGTATCGTAAGTTAATATCAATAATGTTAGTTTAGAAAATGAAGATGACTCACCATGAAAACCATGAACCTTGATTGCAGGTTGGCGTTCCCGATGTAAGTCAGTCACTGCACTCGCCCGTTTACTATTCGCTCCCTTTCTCTACTTCCGATCGTTTTCCTCTACTTGAAGATGTCTATTGTTACACTTCACTCCCGAAAAGATCGATTGATAGATCTAGCGTGAGACAAATTTTAATCACGCTTACAATTATTCTAATTCGCTAAATTATCCAAACGAAAAGTTACTTATTGTTAGCACAATCCGTTTGTCCTTTACGTTAAGAAGAGAAATAGGACGGAGAAGCGAGTAAATCGAGAAATATTCTTTTCTCTTGTTATTTTTTCTTTTTTCTTTTTCGTTTGTTTACGAAAACACGGTAATTAAAAAAAAAAAAAAAACGAAATTCACTCGCGCTTCGATTCGATGATACGAATTCTCTTTTCACTGTTAGTGTTTCACAGTCACCAAGAATATGCGGATAACAAATCACTTACTAATTCAACTAGCTAAGTAACATATTAATTAGTTACAATTAGAGACACATCTTCTTCATCCCTGGCATCCGATTGGCATGTTGGCTCGAATATTGTAGTCCTTGGATCACCTGAAAAAAAAGATCCAAATATAATTAGACGCTGTTCTACATAACATAGACGAAATCTTACGACCGATTAAATTATTCTTAACACTAAACGTATCATAACCGATCAAATGACTCTGACTGTAAAATTTTTATTAGAATTTCTTTCTATTCGGTGAATCAAGAATTCTTATTGCATAAATATCATATATTTTGCTATACAAAAATACGTATATACAAATTAAATATAACATTGTTTTATTTAAGATCACTCGTAGGTGGAAACAAAGTTCATGAAAGAATAAGATGAAGAAGAAGCAAAAGAAAAGAAAGAAAAAGATAAAAAAAATACGTGACGGATCGGACACAAAATAATGAGACGAATGCAATGTTGTCTCTCTTTCTCTTTCTATCTAAAGTGGGGCGCGGTCGAGTATAGAGGGCCGGGCCCATGACGCACCCGGTCTTTATTTAAATCATTCGATCCGTCACGCCGTAATCGATTAGCGCTAATAGCCAGGGAAATAGAGTCGAGCGTAGCTTCGAGACGCGGTTGCCCGTTCATGATAGAAAGAGAAGATAAAATAGCGGCAATACCGATACAAACGTATCGATAGACGCAACCGAGTTAAAGGATTAGATTCGGTAAATCGATGCTTGCTTGCTAGCTTCCTAGACATCTTCCTTCGAAGTTTAGTCTCGTTGAAAGGCGAGCATGCTCCTTTGATTTTCTTCTCTATGATCGAATATATTATCGAAAGGAGATCGTTTCATAGAATACTACTACGTTTCTATTGGTAAGAAAATCTTAGAAATAAAGAAAGAGAGAGAGAGAGAGAGAGAGAGAGAGACAAATATATTGATACACGCGTGGTATGTTTGTGAGTGTGTACAAATAACTTGAACGAACGATCTAGAGAGACTAGACGAGATGTTATTTCATCCACCTCCGCGTGGCAACGTGGACTGTCTGTAGAGTGCGAATAAAAATGGCCATCGTACTTTGAAAGTGCACTTTCACGGCACGTTTCTCGTAACGGCAACCCTTGCAATACGTAATACAACCGAACGGTTCTACGCAAAGTATCGGCATACGTGGATAGATATAAGTACGTATATAGAGATATCGAGCCGGTTACTTTCGTATCAAAAGCAGTACGCTTGTGTGTTAGACTGACTGAGCGTAAGAGCGCGTTAAGAAAAATGTGGATAATTGTATACTAAACGAGTCCACCTACATTACGATTCTACGTGCCATATTGGCATCAAAGTATGCGAGTCAACGCCAGAATACAACTTACCGACTATCATTCTGTCTTTTTTTTTTTTTTTTTTTCTTTTTCTCTTTTTCTTTTTCCGATTTTATTTCCCGTATGACAACGTCCGGTAAATATCATTTGTATATTAGATATTCTCAACTTACATATGTACAAGTTCATTCGTTCGACGAACCGCGAATGATGAGGAATAAATTATTTATTTCCACGTGCTCGCTGAACTATGCCCTTTAAATCGTCCATATGCTGAAACTTAATCTTTATGAAGAATTCAAGAAACACCGCGACGTACGATCGTACATTCGGACGAGTAAATTTTTTTTCTCTCTCTCTCTCTCTCTCTTTCTTTTACTTCTACGACGATAAACGCAAATTTTTCTCCCCGTGTATAGTATATAAGTATAGATCTAGTAGTAGTGTACTACGAGTTCAAACTATAATAAAAGTTTTACTATTCCGGTGGAACGGAAAAAATGCTACGATTAGAATCGACCTCGTGCCTCGAGTACTTTGTTGCGATGTCGATGAACTACAAGAGAGAGAGAGAGAGAGAAAGACAGAAATAAATAAAAATACAGAGAGCAGAAAAGCCTTTATGTCGTCCAAATTTCTTAAAAAAAAATCTAAAAGAAATCAAGTGCATTGTCAAAGAAAGAAAGAAAGAAAGAGAGGGAGAGAGAGAAAAAGAAAAGGAAAGTCGAATGGAAAGCATTAGAAATTCTACAAAGTGTCACGAATCCTGCTCGATTAACATATCTCCTAATTAGAAACAGCAACATTCTTAAGAGTTGCCGACGATCTAAACGAAGTTTCAAACTTGTCTAGCGAATCTCACGAGAAACGAGAAGTTTGTTTAGCACGATCGTCCCTCGACATCTGTGAAGCACGTACACTCGTTCTTCACGATCGACGCCGAGTCCTGTCCATCGATGGACCGATGGAACGCGTTAATTGAGTTGCACGTAGAGAGAATACATCTCGATGTTGACGACCAACCGAATTCTTTACAGTTACAGTATATACATATATATCTTTTTTTTTTTGCACTTTGTTTTTTTGCAACCAACACATATGAACTATTAGTCAACGATTTTACGAATAAAAAAAATCTACTTCTCTCGTACGAATTTTAAAAGAGACAAACGTGACTACCTTTTTAAGTAACTAAATTAATGAATAACTTGAACAGAAAAAAATTAATGTCTATTGAAACGCGTAATATAATCGTAAATCACGACGATAGATAATAGTGTCATTGATCGAAACGAATTCGCTATCTCTTTATTGAGATCCCACGAATCTCAAGCGGTAAGCCACCAGGACTCTCGAGTTTCATTAGTTGACCGGCTAGCAATTGAATTAACGAGTTTTATGGACATTAATGAACGCGATTGCAAGTACCTCGGTTAGGTTAGTCGAGTCAAGAAAGAGGAACACACGATTCTACCTCTCTAGCAGGGAAAACTTAGAAGAGAGGTCTTATGCTGCTATCTTTCTATCTATCTATCTATCTATCCATCTATCGATATATCAATCGATCCGATTTACCGTAGCTCGTTTCATCGTAAGATTGACACTTCGTTGACCGATAAAGTTAACGGAAGGCGTCGAAATCGCAATCAATTGATCGATCTTGATCTTAAATCATGAAAGATTAAAAAAGGAAGGACGAGTCGCAGAAGGGCTAACATGCCCAGAGTGTTGACTGTTACGCGAAACAACTTTTCACTTAAAGATTGTACCTTACACTCCCTACACTCTGTGGACTTTTAATTGAAAGGTTACGAAAGTATCGTGATTTAATGAACAACGATAGCGAACTGATTTAACAAGATAGGCTTATACAGTATTCGATAAGAAAACTTAATAAATAAATGAATAAGTATATAGATCGGTTTTGCCGTCCTATGACAATCGTCCATCTATAGATCTATTTATCTTCCCTAAGAAAATAAACGTGATAAAATAACACGTGACTCGTATACCAACATGCATGCATACATTCAAGATTGATGCATATACACGTATCCACGCATCTTATATTAGATAAATATTAACACGATATAAAAAATAATGAAGCAAAAAAAAAATAGTCTGAAATATAACATTGGAATATAGAATGAGAAAGATAATTAGACGTTATAAATGTAAAACTAGGGAGTAAAATTGTAAGAGAATGGGACTCGGCGGGGTCCACGTGGTTGGTTGCATGCTTGCGCGTAGGATGGCCACCACAGCTGAGTATAAATACACGCTCTTCTATAGCTCTTTATGAATGGAGGAGCACGCGTGCGCGACCACTGGAACGCTGCTCGTACGAGCAGCGAAAGTGACCTGCTCTCTAGGCTCTCTACCTACCTACCTACCTGTTTTAGTGCGAAGGCGATACAGAAATCGGTAATACGCGCTCGCTTGCTCGCTTACTCGCACACTTACTCACCTGAGCTTCCTTAGAACTGCTCTGGATAATTGCGGAGCAAGGTGGACGCGTCAGGAGTGCACTGCACGACCGCCAGTGGCGGCGAGTGTGAAACGCTCCACAGGGTGCCACGAATGCCGATCAAACGCAATTTCTCTCGGAAGAAGAAGGAGGAGGAGGAAGAAGAAGAGAAGATCAAACGCGAGAAAGCAACAACCTTTTCATTTGGCTCTTTTTATATATCTATATATATATTAAAGAAATGTAAGTATTTTACGACCAGAGAAGGGAAGTTGATGGACGAACGATAAATGATTCTGTGTTGTGTTATGTGTGTGTGTGTGTGTGTGTTTAGTATGTGCCAAGAAAAAAACTTTGATTTCTCTAGTGTGCTGGGAAATAATTTAACGATCAAACGTATTGCACGTAGAAGGATTGTTATCCATGTCGCTAATAGTTGTACTAACGACCTAAAGTTTCCGTTAGGAGAATCAGTACGATTATAACCCCACACGTAATAATCGTTCATCATCCAGGAGCATTGAAAGTAAATGGTTTACTCGGTGTCGAAACATTGATACCAATAACGTTAATAAACTAAGTTTAACGAGTAATATACTAGAGAATTACGAGCGTACACTTGTAGCTCGAATTGGAAGGTTCTCTCGGATTGTATTATTCTATCGGTTTTAGAGATGAAGTGAAACGATTCTCAGGGAGTTAGGAATTATCATGTAAGTACCTATATTAAGAAGATCATGAGGTTCTCAGTCGTTAACAAGAAATCCCATCAAAGAAACATCTCGGTTACGATGGACGACGATTGCTAAATCAAAATCGTTCCAAATTGGAAGCTGCCGAATGAATAATGAAGTGAGAAGGTAACTGGGCACGCTTCGGAACAGTTCGTCCTACACCATCGATCACTGCCTATCCTTTCTTCGTCATTTCTTTTTTTCTCCTCTCCTCTCCTCTCTGCTTTCCACTGCGCTTCCTTTTTCTTCCTATAAGCAATCGCAAATCTTCTAATTCGATCAATCGATTCCTAGTTCGAGAACGATACCATTAGTCGGTTTACTCTCGCCGATGGATCCATCAGAAGCGTGGCAAACGATAGACCAGTCGTTTGCCAACTATATCGTTTCTATACTTACCCATATTACATCGAGATGCCATTTTCGCAATTAACCTCAGCGAAAGGATTGCGCAATCTTTAGCGGCCATTTCGTCCGCTTATCACGCTTCGGCTCGATTAATTAATTTAATTGCGCCCCATAAATAACCATCGTTCGATCGGCACGTTAGAAAGTCGACAAGCTCGAAAGGCT